GCAGTAGCAGCAGCATCAGTGATAGTTTCCATTTTGAAAAATTACACCAGAATATCACTTCTGTGTTTCCAGAAATTAAACTTAACCCTTAGAAAATCCCTTAGAAGAAAAATTAATTCAAAACTGAGGAGAATAAGGCGCCGTGGTTTGGTGGATAATCCCAGATTGAGCAGAAGTCTCAATAAACGGAGATTCATACTCACCACCACGATCACTTCTTAGAGCCTTAATCTTGCGGCCTACTTGATTCTCAACTTCATTCTTATAAAGAACAAACTTGTCAATCGCCTCATCTTTGCTTTTGAGCAAATACACATAACAGTATTTAGTGCAATCATCAACAAAAGTGATGAAGTACTTATTGCCACCACGTGATTGTATAAATTTTAAGTCACACACATCACTATGCACTAAATCCAACGGTTCTGAACTTCTTTCAATAGAATGAAACGAAGATCTTGTCAACTTCGCTTCAACACAAGTTTCACAATTGTGTTTCGGATTAATCTTAAAAGATGGTATGTGATCTAACTTGATTAAGCTACGTAAAGATTCAAAGTTCACATGTCCTAGTCTACCATGCCACAAATTGGAAGACTCAAGCATGTAAACAGAAGAAGATGCATCTTTATTCATCTTTGGGATAATAGTCATTACATTGAGTTTAAACATACCCCCAACATATAACCCTTACCCACATACATTCCGCTCTTGGTCAAAACGACCTTGTCGAACTAAAAAACAATGCGAAAACGATGTTTACTAAGAAGAGACCCTGAGACAAGATTTTTACGAATGTCCGGAACATACAGAACTTCGTTCAAGGTCAGCTCCTTTCCTGACGTCAACTTCAGGACCACCTTTCCTTTCCCCTCAACAGTCGAGGTAGTAGAGTTTTCCATAAAAAACTTCTCACCGTTTGTAACCGGTTCGAAAGTTGTAAATAGCTTTTTCTCGAAGCAGATGTGGTGTGTAGCCCCAGTATCAATCCACCATTCTCTTGGGTTTGAACCTACCAAATTCACCTCAGAGACAACGGCAGACAAGTGCATATCATCCTCCTCATGGGAGTGCTCTTGTAAATCTGCCATATGAGCACGGGATTTAGTCTTGTATGACTTCTTCTGCTTGTGGCAGTCACTAGCCCGATGCCCATTGCTACCACAGTTATAGCACTTCCCAAAGAACCGATTACTTAGTTCCGGTGGCTTGTAAGCCGGCTTCTTTGCAACACCACCTCTAGGCCCCAACTTAGAGGGCTTCTTTCTTATTCCAGAAGATTTGCCATGTTCAATGACATTGGCTTTTACTGAGGAGGTACTCCCTCCTTTCTTTCTATTATCCTCCTCAATCCGGAGTCGGACCACCAGCTCTTCAACTGACATTTCCTTGCGCTTGTGCTTCAAGTAGTTCTTGAAATCCTTCCAACCATTGGGAAGTTTCTCAATGATCACAGCAACTTGGAATGACTCGTTCAAAGGCATTCCTTCAGCCTGAATTTCATGCAAGATCACTTGAAACTCCTGGACTTGGCTTATCGCAGTTTTAGAGTCTACCATTTTAAAATCAAAGAACCGGCCAACCACAAATTTCTTTGCCCCGGCATCCTCAGTCTTATACTTTTTGTCCAGAGATTCCCATAACTCTTTTGCTGAGCTCTTGGAACAAAACACACTATAGAGTGAGTCTGCCAAGCTGTTGAACACATAGTTCCGGCAAAGATAGTCTGTCTGCTTCCATGTGTCAAGCACCATGACTTTCTGCCTATCAGGCTCATTCTCTGCCACGGCTGGAGGATCCTCGCTCAGAACCTTTGCAAGGTTTAGCGTGGTCAAGTAGAACAACATCTTTTGCTGCCATCTCTTGAAGTTCACCCCAGCAAATTTCTCTGAGCGCTCATGATGACTGAGCGGTCCTCCCGGAACAGCCGGAGTAACGCCACGGTTGACCACAGAGGTCACAACAGTAGGGGTTGGCAACCCAGTTGCCCCGGGGTTCAGATCCCCACCAACATTAGCAGTAGCAGCAGCATCAGTGATAGTTGCCATTTCGAACAAATAAAACCTCCTTTTTAGCCAAGGCTAAACACTTTGGTTTCTATTCAGAAAACCAAACCAAAATCCAAACTTACAAGCAATTTAAACTTGCAAACAATTTAAAATTGCTACAACCAAATACATGCATATAAAATGCGTCTAATAAGCAAATAAAACTTGCTACTACAAATTGGTAAACAAACCAACTAAATCTCAAAAAAAAAAAAAATTTCTTCAAACATAAAAAAAATTAACCAATCCAATTGAGGATTATAAGCAGTCCATACAATTCCTTTCTACGCTTAGGTATGCCTACAAAGAGAGTTAGTAGAAAACGACAACATAATATAAAGCAATATAGCGGGATAAAGAAAAAAAAAATACAAAATTATGTGAGGTGTAAGCGATTTTGTGATGGAATACAAGTGAAATATTCTTGTACCCCTCCATATTTATGTAAAAAAAAACTTTCTTACTCCACTGGGATGTAATACCCCTTTCATTTTACTTAATATAAGTATAACTATGGTACACACTCTTAAAAAGTGCGTACTATATGCACCTTATAATTAAAAAATAAAATGACATAATTTCATACTTTCTAAGTGATAAGTTAACAAATATATATATGATAACTAAACACAACATGAGGTATAACTAAAAAATACATGAGTTATAACTAAAATAATATCATAATTAAAGAAGAAAATAATATAATTAGAAATGCATATGATACACTCTTTTTAAGGATGTGTAGTTATAAATCGATAGATTATTCAATCAGTAAAATAGATAAGAGGGGCCAACCAACACGAGACAACCCTCTCTCAATATTAATTATATAAGTATTTACCTGTTGAAAAAGTAAATACGAGGTCTTAATAACGGGCTCAGCAACACAGGGAACCGCAACAAGAGATCTGCAAGTAACCCCTCAGGTAAAAAAATTCAATTGAAGCTACCATATAAAGTGTTTCTACATTATTTCGCAAATATTTGAACCTCGAAAAACATTTCTCATAAACAACATTGTTAAGGCATTATGAATATAGAGATAACAATAATGTAGGACAAATCAAGATTAACTTTAAAGAAGTTAGAATCTCACTTGGTGACTCTTGCAATGATATTAAATTCTTATTGTGGCTAACATGTAAACTAAAAAATAGAAGTTAGACAGTGCCAACTAATTAAAAAGAAGACATATATATTCTTAAAAAGAAGAAAAGAAAAACACCCTTTCGTACCTCTATTTTGTAAGTTCCTAGTAACATTATACAAAGCTAACCTAATAGTCTATATAAATCTATTCAATCAATTTCATAGAAAAGATATATAAAGTCTGTTTTAAGCTTGTTGTTCAAATTTTTGAAATTAAATAAATAGATTTATGAGGAAATCAAATTATATATATACTAAGAACACATGCTAATAATTACAACTAAATTTCAACAGAAATACACAAAACAATAAAAGGGTAAAGAGACGAAACCGAAGCCTGCACGGAAGCAGTTTCCTTAAAACAGATTTCGCCGCCTCACTGGTCGAGTGCTTGAGGAATCCCGGCGTCTGTCTCCCAGGATACGACGGTCAAAACCAGCTACGGCAGAAGCACTCTCTGTCTAGCTTAGCGAACAAAACAGTGGCAGCACTCTCTCACTGTAGGAACTTTCAGGCAAACTGACTTGTGAAATGGAAGTAAAAATTTCTGTGTTTGAGATTTGACAGGAGGGTCTCAATTTATACATGTATAGGGGAGAGAGGAAGAGCCTCCAGCCTTTATAACTGTTCATAATGCATCATTAATCCTCTACAATAAAGACAGGAGTTACAAACCCCATTAATGCAGGAGTTACAAACCCCATTAATGCAAGAGTTACAACCTTCATTACCGTTTTTCCATGAAGCTAACTTCATGAGGTAATTTCTCATTCAAATCTCAATGGTTTTTGGCCATTCTATCTGTGGTGTAAAGATCTCAATGCAACGTATCTAGACCCACTTGGACCCAACACAATAGATGGTTGGGACCCACTTTAATCTTTAATTAAAGTCACCACACTTTAATATTAAATTAAAGTCCCCAAAAATCATTTTTTTCAACAAGTTTTACCCGCACGTGCAAGGCCTGCCTCGCACTTAGACTGTTCTTTTTTATTTTTTAATTGAGTAATATTAGGGACCCCAAATAATCTACCAAATGTTTGACCATCAGCGTAAGAGATTTGGTAAAACAATTGGTAGATTATTTGGGATTTATAGCATTTTTCTTTTTCTTTTTATGATGGAGTTTGCGAGTTTACAAATATTTTTATTTTATTAATGTGTTTGAATTGGATGAAATTTGACAATAATTTATTGTTATTTTATTATTATATTTTGGATGAATGTAAAAATTAATGAAAAATTACTTTCAGGTAAGTTTAAGATTTTGAATGATTTGCTTGTATTAGAAATCGATTTGCTTGTGTTTTTAATTTTATAAGTTTTAATTCAATAATTATTAATGTTGAGCATTTTAGAAAATGGGAGAAAAATGGCCCAAAATAAATATTTACAAAACAGGTAAAAAAAAGACTTAAAAATAAATTTTTAAAGAAAAAAGTCTAATCCACAACCAGTTTACGACTGCTCGCACATCCGCGAACCCTATTCTCACAAATCGCAACCAGCACTGCAGGTAGTTGCGAGTTCAATTTTTCTCAAATTGCACATATACGAGCAAGTCCAAACCACAAATCAAACTGTCTAAAATTGAACTGCGAATATTTCTATGATTCAAGTTACATTTGAAAAGTAACTAATAAATTAGTCAAAAAATTTAAAAAATTAACAATCCAAGAAGACATAAAAAAAATTATAAATTATAAATTCCTTCACATTTTTTTGTTATTTTTTATATAAAAATAAAAAATTATTTTAAATTACTTTTATTTTTTTAATATTTCTATGATTCAAGTTACATTTGAAAAGTAACTAATAAATTAGTCAAAAAATTTAAAAAATTAACAATCCAAGAAGACATAAAAAAAAATTATAAATTATAAATTATAAATTCCTTCACATTTTTTTGTTATTTTATATAAAAATAAAAAATTATTTTAAATTACTTTTATTTTTTTCATTTCATATTTTAATAACAAAATTCATTAAAAAAAATCACTTTTCCCAAGATGAACCATGAATTTCATTGATTAGTGCATGGCCCACAATGCTTCACACAAATCAAGACAAAAAGCGATGGTAGTAGGTTTCGGCCTATAAATAAGCCTAAACAACAGTGCTATAAAAAAATATATAAAAAATTAGTAAATACGCGACAGAAAAAAATAAATAATAAAAAAAAGGAAAAATATAATAAAGAAAAGAAAAAAAAAGGAAAGAACATGTGATGAAAATGGATGTTGATTCTTTTCAGGGGTGTAAAAATGGCCCGTATTTCGTGGGTGGCCCAAGATTAGCCGGCCGTTTAGACCCACTTGGGCCCAGGCTCCTGGGCCATCGTTTTGAAACCCGTCTTAGAAATCGGTGTAGTTCCCGGCACTAAGTCAATGCGAAATTTTACTATTTGTCGAAGTGGAGGTCCAGGTATCTTCTGAAATACATCCTCAAACTCACGCACCACATCTACCTCACTAATATTTTGCTTAGGGATTTCTACTAAGCACTGAAAACTCGTTATCACCGACTCTTCTCCATCGCTAGAAATGTGGGTAAGTTGTGGCATATCAAGAATATCTATATTTATAGTCCTTTCGACACAATCTAGAGTCACAAAGTATTTTCGCAGCCAATCCATACCTAAAATAATTATAAACCCCTCAAACCCTAACACAATTAGGTCTGTATACAAGATTACCTGTAAAGTCAATTTCAAAATCTTTACACGTCTCATAAAGAGTAACTGCCCCTTCTAAAAGGATCTCAACACGAATAGGCCTAGACAATGAGGTAGTTACAAGGTGTTCTTTTTCTACAAACTGTCTAGATATGAAAGAATGAGAGGCTTCAGTATCAAAAAGTACTCTAATGGGTTCTTGAAAAAGATTAAAAGTACCTTGCACTTTGTCATTTCCTAGCATCACTGCAAATGCCCTGGCTGGAGCTGCCTGACCTTGTTACGTCTACTGTCTCTAAAGGCAATTCTTGATTGCATGTCCCAACTGCTGACACCCAAAACACTTCCTATTGATCGGTTGAGGTGCTACTGCTCTAATAGGTGTGGGGGCCCTCTAACTGAGGTACGGGAGGACGATAACCCATCTGTGGCACTTGCTACCACTGTCCTTGATAACCCTGTGGGTGTAGACCATCTTGTCTCTGATAATAGTGCCCCTAGGGCTGGAAATTGCCTTGAGGCCTGAAATTACCCTGAGGTCTGAAATTTCCCTAACTACCCTATTGCTGTGCCCTCTGAAACTGCTGACCCCTATACCTTTGATCATAGGGTCGGTATCTGTTCCCATCCCACTGCTAGAAGTGACTCCCTTTAGAAGTCTCTCCGATCTTGGTCTTCCCTTCTTTAAACTACTTCTCCTTTTCCTTATACTTTAGTGCCAAGTCAAGAACTCTGTAAAACGTTTCAGCATAAAAGGAAATAAGGGACTTAAACAGATAATGATTCCATCTCTTAATAAACTTCTCATTCTTCTTCTTCTGCGTGTCGACCAAGTAAGGGGCATAACGAGACAACTCATTAAACTTGGTGACATACTCAATCACTGTTCTACCCTCTTGAGTTAACTTTGAAAATTCATCACTCAGTTGAGATTGAATAGCAGCAGGAGCAAACTTCCGGTCAAAACGAGTCTTGAAATCTGCCCAAGTCAAATTCATCAAATCTAGACCCTCCTTCCACGAGTTCCACCAAAATAGGGCTACTCCTTCAAGCTAATGTGTCGCTAACTCCTATTTTTGGACCTCAGTGAGTTGCATCCAACCAAGCACCATCTCACATTTCTGAACCCAAGCATCAACTGCAATGGATCCTCCATCTCTAGAAAATTTCTAACCTCCCAAAGAACCAAAATCTTTGTTTCTCTTCGCAAATGGATCTCCCTGCTAACTTTGATTATTGTTCTGCACAACCTGAAGTAATTAAGCCATCATCTCCCCCACATTAACCTGTACCATATTGATTGCTCTGGTAGCAGCCGCTGTTGCCCTGGTAGCAGCTGTCGCCACCGTGTTAGCAGTGGTTTCTTCCCTTGTGCCATTGGGCTTAGCACTTCTCAAATTATACCTTCCAGCCATTACCTTCAAGACACACAAAAAGAATTCGTTCACAAATACTTAAAATAAACTCAACCACCAAACTAAACCAGTCAACCCATGTTTCCACAATCTGAAGATCACCTAAACTCTCACAAGTCTAGGGTAACCTAGAGCTCTGATACCAAACTGTCATGTCCCAAAATTTGGATAATTAAATATTAAATTAGGACTAAACCCCAATCAATATTCCATCATCCAAATCTTAGGGGTGAAACAAAATCTAAACATTCTCGTCTCCATAAAATTTAAGTAAATTTCAATCCTCAAAAGATTACAAGGGATTAAAAAAAAAAAAAAAAAACTAATATCAACCTTAAGCTCAACAAAATAAAAGAAGTCCAAGCGACATATCCAACAACTATAGTTATTTCCCTTCACCACCGTAGTCCCAACTAATCCTGCAAAAAAAACTCGGCTGCACTCAAATAGATCGCACTCGAGACGCTAAGAGATAAAACAAGTCAGTAAACACGTATATTGGTATGAGTACAAATATTTGACACTCACGTGTCCACCAGACACAAACAAAAATACATTAATTCTTGTTACGAGACAAGACAAGTAGTTTCATCTGCACTGAAACGAATGGTTAGTTTCCCGAGATACGGTGGTATTTAGTTTCTTACCCGTACACAACTAAATATAAATTGAGTATAAAATAAACAAAATAAATATAAAACTATGGTGGGTCAGCCCTACATAAAATGTTAGTAAAACCCATCATTGTGCAAAAAAAATAAAGTTAGTATAATTCAATCATAAGTAACTTGTTAAAGAAGTATAAAAATGCACCATTTCATACTTAAATAATTCAAATTGACCAAAACTCAATGAACAAAAATTGTACATAATCAAATTTTATAAAAGGTTATGCGGACGAATTTAGTAGAAACTGAACAGGTTGAGAAAAAAACTTAATAAAAAAATCCTAAACGAAATACGATCGAAAAATCTGGAACTGAAAACGGAAAGAAACTGCCCTAAGATGATTTTTTTCAGAAAAGTTCAAAACACGAAAAGTGTTTAGAATAATGTTTTACTTCATTTTATGAGAAACCAATAAAAATGAACTCGTATCGTGGGTTAAAACAGCCTCTAAAATCTGTATTGCTTAAATGAATAAAAACTACTATAACCAAGATCATCTGATTATACGTTTTAATCGATCTTTTTAGTACAAAGTTAAAACAAAAAAATTATCTAGAATCACATATACATGTCTTTACTCAAATTTTATAATTTATCGAGGCCATTTATTATTTTTCAAGATGTACAAATCAATACAATTCACACTATAACAATAAAACTCATATTTAATTCTTTGTACCTTAACTCTACCACTTCAGCCCTTCACTTCCAGCCTACACATATATCCCATGTGCCTCCCGTATACCTAACACTGCTCTGAAGCCAAACTTGCACGGGGATATCGTCCCGAGTTTGACCCACACTCCCCGGATAGTTAGCATATATGTATGCGCGTAAATCAAATCACTCGTCTACTCATGAGAACGAGGTAACAATATATATATACGCAATCTCTCATCTACTCATGAGAACAAACATTACAATGCCAAGCCTAAGGTATTCAAATAAATCTCATAATCTCATTTTTTTTTTCTTATACATTATTTCTCACCATTACT